GTGAGCCGAATCGCTCTGTTGGGGTGTCTGGAAATCACCCTCTGTTGCTGTGAGCTGCTGATTTTCCTCGCCAAATGCCAGAGCTCCAGTTCTACACCACCATCCTGGACATAAGTCAAGCCACGCCCCCATATTTGTATATTTAACCTATTATTCAATTGAGGTGTTTTATTTTTTTATTTGTTTCTATTTATTTTAATCTCTGGCATTTGAAGTCTGCCTGCAGTATAAGTAAGCTCAGCTCTGCAGTGCTTTCCCTGGCCTCTAGCCAGGTTTAAAAGTTGTCTTTCTCCTCCTGATGGGCAGGCCTGACAAAGGTGATGGAGCCCTCAAAACATGTTGCCACCCATCCCCTGTCACACATTGGACTGAGTTTTAATGTCTGGATGTGCACAGAGAGTGGCCACAAAGTGTTTCTAGTTTTTAATCCCTACACCCTGCTACTCTGTTTTCTTTGCTTGTCTTGGGTTGTCTGTATCACTGTTTGTATATTAATATTATGTTACAATATGTTCAATTATTGCAAATTATTGCAAGGGTAAAAACCTTTTTATTCTTTAAAAATGTCAACTTTAGTATGGGGATTTCTAACATTAGGGGCTATTTTGTCCCTCAGACTAGGGTCCCTGTGGAATACCATCCTCAGGCGTTCTGGAAGAATAGAATTTAAGACAGGATCCCTCCTTAGGATATCCCAGTGTTTATGAATAATTCTTTTTACCTGAGTATGTTGAGCAAAAAAGTTATTATTATTATTATTATACAGGATTTATATAGCACCAGCAGTTTGCGCAGCGCTTTACAAAATTAAGGTAGACATTACAGTTACAATACAATTTGGTACAAGATGAAACAGAATGCCCTGCTCTTTTGAGCTTACAATCTAGGAAGTTAAGATAAATGGACATATTACATTAAAGGTGTTTATTATTTACTAGGGTTTATAGTAACATGGTCGTATCTGATTCTTTAACCTGTTGTATTATTTTATCAAGCTCATTTTCTTCATATCCTCTCTCAATGAATCTGGCTTTCAAAGCTAAAGACTGCACTAAATAATCTTTCAGAGTGTCACAATTACTGCACAGTCTCAAAAACTGCTCCTTACATATAATATTTAACCAGTTAGGGTGACAGCAGCTGTCCTTGGGAATAAAGCTGTTTTTATCAGTTGTTTTAAAAAAAAGTCTTAGTAACTATCAGGGGCAGACTGACAACTCATGGGGCCCCCGGGCAATAGGGGATCATGGGGCCCCAGTGTCATTGCCCACACCCAAAAAAGCCTATGAAAAAGCCAATGAAAGGTACCAGGGGCATCTCATGGGGCCCCCTACTGACCCCGGGCTCTCGGGCAGTGCCCGAGTGCTCAAATGGTCAGTCCACCCATGGTAACTATAGAATTTCCTCTCACCATCAAGGTGAGGTCCCAAAAATGTATTTCTTCCTTACTATAAACATATGATAGCCTGTTTTTCCAATTATTTATATTCAAAAAAGTTTTAACTCTCTAAACTGGTTTTATCTCCCCTCCAAAGAAGCAGCACATCATCTACTGTATATAGCACTAGTAAAAAATCAGTTCTAACCAACATCCAGATTAAATAACCTCTTCCTCCCAACTACCCATAAAAAGATTGGCTAGGCTGGGGGGCATATTTAGCTCCCATCTTTCACTCAAAGGTGTATTCACAACTAGGGGCTGGAGAAAATCATCTATATGTTCCCCAGCACAGACTAGTAAGGAATCAATACCACTAATAATTGGTCTACCCAAGGGAATTAATCTTTATGAAATTTTGGGAGCAGGGCCGGATCTAGGGGGTGCTGGGGTGGGCTATGCCCCTCCGGAATTCAGTCATGCCCCCCCAGGCTGCTATTGATACTTTGCTTGGTGCTGTGAGTTGCTCCTCCCTGCACTGCCACACAGGGATCCGTGGGTCTTCCGTGATACAGGCTGCTCTGCACACTTCTCCCAAGCCCAGAAGACTGTCTACTGCAACTGCTCACAGACAGGTTAGACTCCCCTCCAATTGTAGGATGTTGCTTCAGCTCATCAGCTATCTGCTGTGTGGGGAAGGGGAGGTCAGCTAGGATTGTTGGCAGCAGTGTCAGTGCCAATGGACAGTGGTGTACTTAGGTTTTGTGCTGCCGTGGGCAATACAAACCCCCCCTTCCCCACAGAGAGAGCCTTACATTGACCAACAACACCCCTGTCCCTCCCCAAGAGAGGCTTCCACTACCACCTCCCCCCCCCCATACACTGGCAAACCCCCCTCCCCCCCTCGACACTAGAAAGACACTCACCTTCACAGCTCTGGACATCCCTGAGAAGGAGAGTCAGGCTCTTCATACAACATCAAGCAGCCCACAGCCTCTCTTGGATCCCACCTTCTCCCATTGCTGCATGCGTCCCTTCTTCCAGGTGGCAGTGCTGCCCCCTGAAAAATGCTGCCCTAGGCAATTGCCTTGTTTGCCTTGTGGTAAATACTCCCCTGCCTATGGATGCCAATAACCAGTGGCATCTGTGACAGAGAAATGTGCAAGATGAGGACATGGAGGGCTGGGTTTATTCTGGACGGACTTGTGACTATAGGTACAGAAATGCACACAGGGCACTTTGTAAAACTCTGCTGAATTTTATGCTTCTTGTGAACTCTGTCCATGAACACTGCTTGCCTCCCCACTAGTAAGAACATTGACAATTGCAGAACTCGGCTCAGCGTAGAAGAAGATTGTGAAACAAACTCCTTCTTCTCCTACTTTTCCTACAATAAACAGACCTGGGAACAGATGAATCAAAGCAGACGACCCCCTCCGTCCTTCCCTCCCTCCGCATGGTTTATTGCAGGTAAATATACTGTGGGCTGTGTTAACCCTGCCAGTGATTGTAACCTTTGCGTATTGTGCACACAAAAGGATTCAAAGAGGATGCGACAAAAACACAAAACTATCTACACCTTTTTGGTATAAAAAATACTGGTACTAGAGCTTGTTCACATGTGCGGCATCCTCTGAAGGGTGATCCATGTTGGATCACTTTTCAGGAGGGCAGTTCACAGGCAGTGAGGAGCCGATATGTAACCTCTTCCATGCCTGATTTAACACTATGATTGGCATACTACCACACTGCAATTGTGTGATTTGCATGTGGTTAGAAACAGAGAAAAGTGACGGCAGAAAAAGACCAAGTGGTCCATCGAGTTTGCCCGCTTTTATTTTGTTTTGTTTTGTTTTTTTTTTGTTAATTTTTTTGTCTGATTATAGATCTATGCTTGTACCACGCATGTTTGAAGCTATTTATTGTTGACTGGCTCACTACCTCTGCTAAAGGTTTATTCCAAACATCAACTACTCTTTGAGTAAAATAGTAGTTTCTGAGATTAGTTTTAGTTGCAGCATGACCCCATATTAGTTGCAACCTCCTGTATAATTCTTGCCACAACTGCGAAGCACAGCATCACAACCACAGCACGTGTACAGCCATGAGCAACTGCATGTCAGTTTTTAGTCAATAGGCAGTAAAACCATGACTCAAAACCACCCGGTTTTACCACCCTCTGACTGCTTGTGTGAATGAGGCCTTATTTTATTGTGTTTGAATTACTTTCATAACTGACTTTTAATCATAGATCCCAACTGTCCCTTATTTGGAACCAAATCCTCAGTTCCTCCTCAGTTGTCTCTCTTGTTGGTCTGATGTATAGACCTTGGTAAAACAAAATATTTCTCAATTATCAAAAGCATTATATTACACCAAAGGCTGAAACACACCTATGCAATCAGGAGGTTAACTTGTCTGTTACTGCAGTATACCTTAACAAACATTGTGTGCATAGTGTGTTGTGGTGCCATTATTTTGGATGACGCCACAACAAGCTAAGGCAACATAGCTCTGCAATCCACCGCAACCCACAGGAGCATACCACCATGTGTTTTGGCACACTGTGTAGGAAAAAATACGGCATGTCCATGCCTGTACATTGGCAGCCTATTCAAAATGATTGGGCTGCCTTAATGCAACACATGCTAATGCACAAGGCAACATGTGTAATGCACAGGAATTGAGAGGTTTGAATGCGTCCTAAACCTTTCATCCAACTTCTATATTATTTAATTTGTTATTTTTAAAAACCAATATAAAGTAAAGTAGTGGTGGAATGTGCCGTACATTACATGTGTGTACAGGGAGTACTCCTAAATAAGCCCCTTCCACTGTTAGCACAGTTTTGCCACATTCTCAATTTGTCCCAGCATAATGCATGTGCTGCCTCCTTATTTTCTTTTGGTTGCCCAAGACTGAACCCACCCTGCAAGAAACAAAAAATTTCTGTGGCCTTGGACAGCAAACTGGGGTGGCTGGACTGTGGAGACAAATAGAGAAGGACATTGGGACGGGGGCTGGGCTGGACATTGGGGAAACAGAAAAATAGGGGAGAGAAACTGGAATTTGCACAGATAGAAAATTGGGGATCTGTACTTTAAAGGAATAGAAAAATAGTGGTGGGGGCCCTAGAGAGAGAGAGCCTGTGCATGCGTGTTAGTGTGCTTTTCTTGGCTAATATTACCTGGTTGCACTCTAATATTACTCATGGAAGTTGGTTAGGTACAATATTTATATAATATAGTTATTGATATAATAGTTTGCAAAGCAGACACTGCTGCCCCTAACCCAAGAAATAATACCTAATACTAATCAGATACAGGCAGGGGCGTATTTGCCACGAGGCAAACAAGGCATTTGCCTAGGGTGACACCTTTCAGGAGGGCGGCGCCGCCCCCCCCCTTTCCCTCCGAAGGGACACTTCCGTGGGAAAGGGACAAGGGCTGCTGTGTCTTACCTGTCTCCGCGACTCTGTGTCCCACTTCGAGCCAGTCCACAAGACACTGCTGGAGGAGGGGTAGAGATGTTGTCCGGTCCAGTGTCTTCATCTCCCTGGATCTTGGATCGCGATATGAATGGGATGACATGCCACCCCTCTCATCTGGCTACACCCCCAGGATCACTGGGCAGCCTATGGCAGCAGGTCCCTCGATCTCCAAGTGCCGCCTCCTCACTGGTGATTGGCCGCAGGATCTGTAGGTCAGGGAATGCACACAGGCAGCCAATCACCAGCGAGGAGGCGGAGCTTGGAGAGGAGGAGCCAAGCGGCAAAGCGAAGATCGAAGAAGCTGATCGGAGTGAGGGACCAGCTGGAGCCAGTGAAGAGAAGGAGAGCAGTCGGAAAAGGAAGACAGCTGATTGGTAAGGTAAGTATCTGTGTGGCCGGGATCTGTGCAGAGCAGATGGTGCTGCTGCAGCCAGGTATGCTGGCTGTGGATGGGAAAGGGAGGGAGCCCAGGCTGGAGCAGGGGTCAGCAAAGTAAGTATCATTGGTGTCAGTGGGAGTAATAGTACCTCATCATTAGTGTCAGTGTGGGAGGAATAGTGCTCCATCATTGGTGTCACTGACACCAATGATAGGACACTATTCCTCCTACCGACACTAATGGTGGGGCACAGGGGCAGACTGACAACTCATGGGGCCACTGGGCAATAGGGGATCATGGGGCCCCTGTGTCCTTGCCCAAACTCAAAAAAGCCTATGAAAAAGGTACCAGGGGCATCTCATGGGGCCCCCTACTGACCCCGGGCCCTCGGGCAGTGCCCGAGTCTCCAAATTGTCAGTGTCTTTAAATGGTGTAATAAAAATAAATAACGTATAGTCCACCAATCTTTAAATTATGTGCTCTTTCACCAGTTGTGCTCTCACCTGACGTATGTGACCAAACCGTTAAGTGAGGTCAAAAAGCTTGTGTCCATTTAATTTGACTTAAAATGATGGGACACTGTTCCTCCCACTGACACCAATGATGGGGCACTATTCCCCCCACTGACACCAATGATGGGGCACTATTCCTCCTTCCACTGACACCAACGATGGGGAACTATTCCTTCCACTGACACCAATGATGAGACACTATTCCTCCCACTGACACCAATGGTGGGACAGTATTCCTCCCACTGACACCAATGATGGGGCACTATTCCTCCCACTGACACCAATGATGGGGCACTATTCCTCCCACTGACACCAATGATGGGGCACTATTCCTTCCACTGACACCAATGATGGGGCACTATTCCTCCCACGAACACCAATGATGGGGCACTATTCCTTCCACTGATACCAATGATGGGGCACTATTCCTCCCACTAACACCAATGATGGGGCACTATTCCTCCCACTGACACCAGTGATGGGGCACTATTCTTCCCACTGACACCAATGATGGGACACTATTCCTCCCACTGACACCAGTGATGGGGCACTATTCCTCCCACTGACACCAATGATGGGACAGTATTCCTCCCACTGACACCAGTGATGGGGCACTATTCTTCCCACTGACACCAATGATGGGACACTATTCCTCCCATTGATGCCAATGATAGGACACTATTCCTCCCACTGACACCAGTGATGGGGCACTATTCCTCCCCAATGACACCCATGTGGGGGCACTATTCCTCCCACTGACACCAATGATGCGGCACTATTGCTTCCACTGAGATCAGTGATGGGGCACTATTCTTCCACTGACATCAATGATGGGGCATTATTCTTCCACTGACACCAATGAAGGGGCACTATTCCTCCAAATGACACCAATAATGGAATAAAATAAGAGGTGGGGCTCTAATAGGAAGAGGTGGAGTCTAAAGAGGAAAGGTGGAGTTCACAGATGAAGGGGTGGATCTGAAACAGGAAGGGGTGGGATGAATTTAGATAGGGGGGTGCAGGATACACCAAGGGATACAGGGGGAAGAGGTTGGAACTAATGGTGGGCCGAACACCCCCCTGTTCGAACCTAATGCAAGTCTATGGGCCTTGAACTTGTAAATTCAAAAGTGCCTATTTTGAAGGCTTATATGCAAGTTACTGGCCATAAAAAGGGTTTGGGGATTCGGGTACTGCCCTGAGGGACATGAATCAGTGAAAAAAAAAATTTAAAACGTTTTGTTGTGGTACAGAGCAGAAAAAAGCACAAGCAGCTCAACTGGTGGAACTATTTTCAGCCACACAGATAGTGTGCCTTGCAATTGTGCCTGCTGTCTTGCCCCCTGTGTCTGCCGTGGAGGAAGTATGTTGGTGCCCCTGCTTGGTCTTTTGTGGCATAAGTCCACATTGGTAAGAAATCAGTTCATCGATTTGAATGTACTATCATAAAGTGTATATTCATCCAAGATATGTTTGTATCTTAACTATTATGGTTTTGTTTCAGAGTATATTTTGACCCTTCCTCTTGAAGAAGAAGATTATGTCCATGAAACATGTAGAGGAGTTAAACATCACCCCCACAAGGCTATATCTCATCATACCATGTTGTTAAATATGTGGTTTTAAATATGACTTCATGTATATGTGAAAGCAATGTATAATCTTTGTATCAATAAATATATTATTGTTATAATATTTTGTTGTTAATGGGTACCGAGATAGTATATTCAGTCCAATTTTTGGGGTATTCCCCCTCAATTTCTACATAATTATCTTGGATGATGGTACCCCTATCCTCTTTCATATAGCTGTTAATACTTTCTGAGGCTCTTCATTCAATTGTGGAGCTACAGGTATTAAATGAAATTAAACAAACCTATGCCCTGGCAGCTGTGTCAGAACTATAATTTCTCAGGGACAAATTTAATGTTCCTCTCTTTAATAAAATCAAAGTTTAACCAGATATAGAAAAACTTGCTATGCATGTTGTAATAAACCAGGAAAGCACCAGAACTTACATCCCCCATTTTAAAGATGCCAAAGGCTTCTTAAACAAATCCCCTTTAGCCATAGCTGACATGTTACAGGTATACTACTGTATACTCTAATGTACATCCTTCTGGCTCATCTAAAAGCTCCTTCTCCCATTTTGTTCATATCCAGACATGTATAACCCTGAACTTCCTTTGGTCTTACCAGTGAACAGAGATACTTTGGATGTCCTAATTGCAGAAAATAAAATTACAGCTATCATCAGCACTATGAAATCAGGTAAGGCCCTTGAGCCAGACAGATTTAACATTGTTTATTTTAAATCTTCTGAATAGACCTTAATTCTGAAACTTACAAAACTTTCAGCAATATATTACATGGCATGTCTTTCCCAAGAGATACCCAGACTCCACATGTTTCATTAATCACTGAAGAGAGAAAGACCTCAGTGATTGTGGCAGTTACCATCTGACCAAGTGGGAATTATTTGAAGTAGGGAAGCTAAAGACAATAGCAGGGGCCGGTGCTAGACTAATTTGCGCCCTAGGAAAGACTAGCTACTTGTACCCCTCAACAAAAAAATAAAACTTCACCTGTAGTTCTACTTTACCCCTCCTAGCACACATCCTCTTTCCCCTCATATTTTCAACCCTAGTATCAATCTAGCACCCCCCCCCCCCCAGATCTGGCCATGGCAGAGAGTACAGAAACCAGCAGCCGTGGCTGCAACCCTAGGACGCAGTGTGCCCTAGGTGGCTGCCAAGTTTGCCTAGTGGTAGAAACCGCCCTGACAATACTCTTAGAATCTTAGATATACTGTAATTCACTGGGCTATTTCCTCCAAAACAATTTCTTCTTCTCTAAAACGATACAGAAAAAGTGTTTGATAGGGATAATTGGCAATCCACTCACATGAATATGCTCTAACATAAACTTGGGTCCCAATTTGCAGAAATATATCCACACCATTTATCTATGCAAATTGTTTAGCATAATGAAATCCTGTATGACTTATTTTCTATTACAAATTATTATTATTATTATTATAATTATACAGTATTTATAAAGTGCCAACAGTTCGCTCAGCGCTGTATATTAAAATAGGAGACAGAACATGCGACAGTACAATAACAATACAATGCGATACACGAGGGGTTTGAGGGCCCTGCTCCTCGGAGCTTACAATCTAGGAGGGAGGGGATAGTGGTACAGGAGGAAATAGCTGTGGGGGATGGAGTGGTAGGAAGAGTGGAGGAGGTTGGGAATTAGAAGGGGGTGGGGTAGGCTTCCCTGAAGAGGTGGGTTTTCAGGGTGCGCCTAAAGGAGAGGAGAGTAGGTGATAGTCTGATGGATTGGGGTAGGGAGTTCCAGAGTATGGGTGACGCCCTGGAGAAGTCCTGGAGGTGGGCATGGGAGGAGGAGGCTAGGGAACTAGAGAGAAGGAGGTCTTGTGAGGAGCGGAGTGTGCGTGTAGGGTGGTTAGGATTTTGAACTTGATCCGTTGGGCAATCGGAAGCCAGTGGAGGGATTGGCAGAGGGGGGTGGTGGAAACAGAGCGGTTGGTAAGGTGGATGAGTCTGGCTGCCGTATTCAGGATTGACTGAAGCGGGGATAGCCTGTGGCAAGGCAGGCCAGTTAGGAGGGAGTTGCAGTAATCAAGTCGTGATATGATGAGGGAGTGGATGAGCTGCTTAGTGGTTTCTGGGGTTAGGAACGTGTGTATTTTGCCGATGTTGTGGAGGTGGAGTCTGCATGAGTTTGTTAGTGATTGGACTTGGGGCTGGAAGGATAGATTAGAGTCAAGAATGACACCAAGTACTCTGGCCTGCGGGGCGGCCTGATGGTGGCATTGTTGGACGTGATGGAGAAGTCAGTGGGGGGTGGTGAGCGGGCTGGGGGAAGACTAGGAGCTCGGTTTTGGAGAGGTTCAGTTTAAGGAAGTGGAGCCACATCCAATCTGATATGTCGTTCAGTAGGCTTGTGATTCGGGCAGAGACTGAGGGGGTGAGGCGAGGGGTTGAGAGATAGATTTGCGTGTCGTCGGCATGGAGGTGGTAGTTGAAGCCGTGAGAGTGTATGAGTTGGCCAAGGGAGGAGGCGTAGATGGAGAAGAGAAGGGGCCCGAGGACAGAGCCTTGAGGGACCCCAACAGAGAAGGGGAGTGAGGGGAAGGTGGTAGCATTATAGGTAACGCTGAAGGAGCGTTGTGATAAGTAGGACGAGAGCCAGGAGAGAGCAGAATCTCTGAGGCCAAGGGAGTGTAGTTTTTTGAGGAGGGGGGAGTGGTCGACTGCGTCGAAAGCCGTGGAGAGGTCAAGGAGTAGGAGCACTGAATAGTGGCCATTAGCTTTGGCGGTTAGCAGGTCGTTGGAGAGTTTGAGTAAGGTGGTTTTGGTGGACTGTAGGGGACGGAAGCCAGACTGTAGGGGATCGAGGAGGTTTTTGTCGTTGAGGTGGGAGCTTAGGCAATTGTAGACTAAAGGAGTTTGGATGTGAATGGCAGCAGGGAGATGGGTCTAAGGTTGTTCGGGTCAGTGGGGTCCAGGGAGGGCTTTTTAGGTATTGGGGTGATGTGCGTGTGCTTCAGAGGGGAGGGGAATGCACCGGAAGAGAGGGAGAGATTAAAGATGTGGGT